GTACATGCAAGATGTGAGGTACGTGCAAGATGTGAGGTACGTGCAAGATGTGCTCTGCCTGCTTGCCCAATGTTGATAACGAAAATATGCACGCCACCGCGGTCTATATAAGATTTCCCCTAAAGAGGCTCAGGGTCGTGTTTTTCCTAACCGGTCCTGCGTGTCCGTGTGGGAGCTCGACCCTGGCTAGCCAGCCCAATAAACTCTGCTTTGTAGATTGCATTCACGCCTGGCTCTCTGTCTCTCGGGGGAATAGGATTCCGGGTCCTAACAAATGTTACCTAGGTTAATTTTCCCTATCTTCCAAAAATTTTTTGCTTAAATATTTTGGGATTATTTATTTATTTTCTGTGTGTGGAATGCACTCCAAAGCCTAGTGCATACTGGGCAAGCACTCTACTATTGAGAGCCATACCCCAGCCCCATTTTTCTCTATTAATCACACTGTTGTGATTGTACTTAATTTGCCTAGTTATTCAATTGAGTATTGCCTTCCTTTAGAATGTGGTGACCCACTTGTGGTGCTGGTGCAGTCTGTGATCAGAAGACTTCCAAATTCTTCGTATCTCACCAGGAAGAATCCATGGCAAGATATGCGATGTAAAGATAGTTTATTAAAAGTTAGGGAAGAGAAATACAAAGAGCAGCATTGTGGAGCCCAGGTGGAACCCAGAAGCCGAGAGAGAGTGTTTCTGCTCTTCATGTACTTTTAAAACCTACAATAATCTATGGGAAGGGGAAGACAAGGTAATTCCCATCCAATAATTGAGTGGGGAAGGGAATAGGAGATTCTCCAGCCCCAGGTAAAGGTGTGTCATTACCTGCCTCCAGTGACCTTTGAGCCAGAGGGAGGAGCTGTTCAGACTCTCTTATAAACCTATGTTAATTCTCAGGAGCCCCATCCATAAGGTAGGAAGTTCGCATTCTTTCTTACTCATTGTACCTTACATTGGAGCTCTTAAGGTGTGTCAGGGAGGAGTCTCCATTCCAAATGTTCCCTGATTCTAGCCTGCCTCACTTAGAACTTCAGAGTTGGTATAAAGATCATTTTATGCTGAAGACATTTGATAATCAACAGATGCAGAAAGAAGTCTGCTAATGAAAGCAGCAAATTCTGGGAAGTAAGGTATCCTCAGGGCTGGTCTACTCCTAGGAGAGGGTTCAAGAGTAAGCCTACCATAAGTTCCTGCTGTGGGAGGTTCTTGCCTATGAAGATGAAAAGACCACTTGCACATGGATGAATGAACATTGTCAAACATTTTCTCTCTGCTCTGCCCATTTAAAATCCCAGGTGTCTTTCTTAAACAAACCCATTTGTCCTTCACAGAGAAGCCATTTTTCCTCACTCTCTTTTTCTAAGTGAGGTACACAAACTTTAATGCTCCAGGCTTAAAAAGCTAGCTCCATTCTCATTAGTTCCCACATGCATACAAATAATTGTTTTCTCCCGTTGGTCTTTTCAAAATTTATCTTTTATTTTTTAAGAACCTAACAAAGACTTATTAGTAAATAAAAGAGAAAACAGAAAGCATTTCCTGACATGAAGAAGGTGGGGGCCGAGAGCTCCAAATTAAATTTATTTTTAATGGATATGCAAAACATTAATTTTGTATACTAATATAGTAACATGATGTTTATACACACACACACACACACACACACACGCATATACAGTGTGATGTTTAAATCAGGTCAAACATGTCTACATGCTCATTTATCGTTTGTTTATGGTGAAAACTTTCAAAATCCCTTTCCCTGTTGTAAGTGTAAGTGCATCATTGTCACCTGTAGTCATCTAGCCACCAGAGCTCCTTGCTCCCATCTAACTGTAGCTCAGTGATGATCACCCCTTCCCCATCTCTCCCACCCCCACTCTCCCTTCTCAGCCTCTGAGATCAGTTTGTTTTGATTCTTTGTAAGAGTGAGATCATACAGTAATTTTGTCTTTTACTAAGGGAGAGGATAAGTTTTCCTCCCTCCAAAATGTTTTTGGTATTTATAACTATAAAATACAAGATTAAACAAAATTTTCCAGTCCCTGGTATGGAGGGCTAACCTCCATAGATCATAACACTGGAGCTATTCCCAGGTGTCCAGACTCTACCCAGAGGCAGGTCTTCAATTGGTGGTTTAGAGCCAGAGGCAGGGCTGAGAGAGTCTCTTCCTTTCTAGACACATTCACTTTCCCCAACCACTTCCCAGAAAGCTTATTTTAATGAGTTTATAGGGACCTGCACAAGGCTTTCTCATTAAGACTTTTTTCCTTATATTTTATCCAAAGTGATGAGGTTACTGGACAATTAGGAGAAAATCTGAAGACCAACCCTCTTAAGCTGAGGGTTAAAAAATGACATAGAGCCATGCCAGGCCTCACCTGGGAATCTTATTTCATGGTGGAACAGAATGATGGCTTACTAAATAACAAAATCCCAGTGCCCTACCTAACAAACATCTTTTTCCCTAAGTGATTTCAGCTAACTGTACACTAGTGAGTGCAGGGTTTAATTGCTCCCTGGAATCCTGTGCCCCAGTTACCTAAGTCACATCAACATACTATATATTCCATTTGGAGACTTTCCTGCTCTCCTTATTTTAGAATAAAAAAAGACAGTTCTTTCTAGGAGCGCATACACTGGCTCTTTACTGTTGTCTGTTTTTCTACCTCAGGTAAAAGATCTCAGCCATTAGGCCATTTATATCCTTATTTCTCTTCATGAGTATGTACCTGTAAACCTTATAGCAAAAACCCAGTGGAGAATAAGACAGTTGCTTCCTTATTGGCCATTTATAATAAGCAAAAAATTTTAGTTAAATAAAATGTTCTGAGATTAAAGAAAAATAAATATGATTTTTAGAATTTTATCTTAAACATGCTTCTATTATGTGAGTTGATTAAATAAATAATTTGCAAGGAGATTAAAAACTACCAATTTATTTACTTTATGTCATAGAAGTGTTATGTATATCATATTTGGATATGATACAAAATTGCGAATAACTTTGACCTCTTGCAACACAGGAATGTACTTTATATAAAAAAAGTATTTACAGAGCATTTTAATAAGCAAAATTCTAGTAAGTATCAATCAGTTTTTAAAAATACTATTAAGAATGTAAAATATGAATGTTCATGTATTTTTATATGGTTTATATGTTCTATATTTATTTTTTCTTCCATTTCCCTATGAAATTTCTCAATTTATGATATTTTTTCTGTTCTTTTCTACATATCTCAACTTTTTTAAACAATCAGATCACTTCAGTTTTCCACCATGTCTGTGTCTTTAGGTGATGTTGTAGGTTTGGGCTTTACAACTATTTTCCAGAGTATCTGTGAGTAACTATATATATTATGATGCTACCTTTAATTCAATGTGTCTTATTTTGAGCCTACCACATAACACTTTGTGATAATTGTTTCAATAAGAGTAAATCCCACTTTTTTATATACCTCGACTTAAAAATCAGAATAACATTTGATCTTACCTTTCACATCTCCTGCCTCTATTAACCCGCCCCAGGACCATCACTGTGACTCAGCTATCTGGATGTCTTATGATTATTCTCAGGTTAAAATCAGCCAAATCCTCTTAGTTCATGAAATATTTTCATTGGAAACTGTCCAAATGTTCACTTTGCTCTGTTTATCAAATGCCCCAGAGCCAAATCCTGCATATAAAACTGAATTATATTTAAATGTAAGCTGACTGAACAGTTAACTATGTCAAAAGTGAGTGTTAATGCCTGTTATTTCTCCCTTTATCTAAATATGAATGCTTTCAATTCTTTTTCCTCTAAAATTCTTCCTACAAGTCTCATTTACATGTAGAATCAAACATCATCTCTAATCAATCAGAACTACAAGCACCCACACATACCCTTCACCTTCACCCTTCAGTGTCACATTTTCCTACAGTTACAACAAAAAGTAAAATACAACAACAAAAAAAAGACTTGTCTTCCCATTATTCTGACTCAATCTTGTGTTAACATTAACACAGTTCTTAGTAAATGTCCATGTAAAAAAGATACAACAAACCTTCTGAGATTTTCATTCTGGACCTAGTTAAGATATTCAAGAAGGCTGTGTGTGGATATCTATGTGTTCAAGAGGCAGCAGAATTGTGACTTGCAGGCCAGCCTGAGCTACATAGGGAGACACTGTCTCAAACAAACAAAAAAGAATTTCAGAGCTCTTACACTTGCTTGTAGCTTTGTCAGAAGCTACCAGTTTCTTGTTAATGGCATTCCTTACATAAGATTATAATATAGAATAAAAGGGAAAGCACAGCTGGCCACTCCAAAAATTCGTTGTATCAGTAGATTTATTGCTCCTTGGAATCCTTTATTCTTTGGAAAGAATAAACAAAATATACCTAGAATTTCATAACAGAGCTAAAGTAAGACAACATACTTCATGCTCAGAAAGACTGGAAGCGAGTCAAACTTATTAGATTATTCGAGATGATTTCTTAGTTTTATGAGTTCGATTTTAGCAAACCCAAAGCACATAAGAACAATTTCAGATACCAAGTAAAATAACAAGCGGTTAATAGATTGTGATTGTAACATCAATGAAGAAAAGTAATGCTCTGAGAAGAGTATAATCTTATGCCATCATGAAATCAGGATGACCCTTCAGGTCATATGTAGATATTGAGCCACATAACTCCACAGTCTCATTTAGGATTGGACAGCAGGAGGAGCAGAGAACAGAAAAGCAAAATGGATTCTAATTGTATTGCTAATTTTCAAAGTCAGAGAGTTACAGCATGTTTGAAGGCAGAGGTAAAAACAATGGAAAAGAAGAATATTAACAAAATAAATGATAAAAACAGAGTGAGTGCTTAAATTTGAATTGTTTTTCATAGCTCGGAAAGGAATGTGCTATTCTTACATCTTTCAGGTTGATATTCAGGAGAGATGTTGAAAGTAGAGATTTTCATACCACTTTGCATGTTTGCTTAGCACATACAGCTTTCTATCTTAGCAACAATGCAATGGTCATTCCCAACATCAGCAACTATACTGGATTTTTCCTGCTGGGTTTCTCAAAGCAGCCTCTGCTGGAGATGATGCTCTTTGTCATCACTATGGTTTTATACTTGCTCACTATTTTTGGCAATATGGCCATAATTATTTTAGCTTGTCTGGATCCCCGGCTCCATACCCCAATGTACTTCTTCCTCAGTCACCTGTCTTTAATGGACCTTTGCTATACCACCAGCACAGTCCCTCAGCTGCTGTTTAACTTTCAGGGACAGGAGAAGACAATAACTTATGGTGGATGTGTTGGTCAACTCTATGTGTCCTTAGCAATGGGTTCCACAGAATGCATTCTTCTGGCAGTCATGGCCATTGACCGTTATGTTGCTGTCTGCTGGCCTTTGCGTTACACCACTCTCGTGCATCCACGCATTTGTTTGCAGCTGGTGGCAATCACATGGATGACTGGCTTGGCCAACTCCTTGATTCAGACTGTGCTTGTCACACAGGTCCCCCTTTGTGGAAGAAATGTTATAGACCATCTCTTCTGTGAAGTGCCAGTTCTCCTTAAGCTTGCCTGTGTGGATGTCACATTTAATCGGATGGAACTCTTCCTGGTCAGTGCATTTTTACTCCTGGTGCCCCTCACTCTTATTCTTATTTCCTACAGCTGCATTGTTCAGGTTGTGTGGAAGATAAGGTCATCAGAAGGGCAGCGGAAAGCTCTGGGGACTTGCACTTCCCACTTGGTGGTGGTATTTCTCTTCTATGGCACAGCTATGGCCACCTATCTGCAACCATCTTCAGCCAACTCCACAGACCAGGACAAGTTCATGGCCTTACTATATGGAATTGTCACTCCAACTTTAAATCCTTTCATATACACATTACGCAATAAAGATATCAAAGGAGCACTGAGAAAGATCATAGGAAAAGAGTAATGGCAAGGAGATGTTTGGAGAGCTGGTGGAGACTGAGAATTGGAATTAATTTCCCTTTGAATTCTGTGATATTGGTAATGTTCCTTTTATTTCTGAGTAGACTAACTCTTGCTGTATTTGTTATGCAGCATATTTTTATATCTTATCAACAAAGGCCATTAACTGAGAAGACTAGCCAACAAGTGCCAATCCTAACTCTGCTAGTGCCTAGTTACTTAGCAGAGCTCAGCTCAAGTAATTTCTCTATGTTACACAAATAGCAATGAAGATACTCACTGTACATTGTGGAGAGGCTACTGTGAAGATGGAGTTAGATAAAATGGTATTTGTTAGTTTCCAAATATTAAATATAAATAATTCCACTTAAAGTTTTGGAAGGATGTTCCCAAATTATGAGGTACCATAGAGGCCATCTGTCTTAGCATAGATTCAGCCTCAGAATCTCCATAAAATATTCCTAGATAGAAGTTATTCAAATGTATGTTAACATTTCCATGACAAAGCAATCTCTTTTTCCAGGGTGAATGTCCATATATGGATGATATGTTCATTATACTAGTTTTTGTTGATGTTGTCAGAGGTAACTGGAAAATTCTCTCTTTATTATTTTAACCTTAATTTTGTCTTTTGCCTTCAGAGGAAGATGAAATAGCATCTGACAATATATTTCAGTCACCCAAATACTTTCAACATATGAGATCAATAACCATGCATAAGTTCTCTGAGTTAATGCATAATTCTTTTCTTTTTTTTTATTCATATGTGCATACAATGTTTGGGTCATTTCTCCCCCCTTCAGCCCCCCTTCCTTACCTCCCCCGGTCCTCCCTCTCTTACCCACCCTAACCCCTCACTACCACGCAGAAACTATTTTGCCCTTATCTCTAATTTTGTTGAAGAGAGAGTTGAGGGCAACAAATGCTATCTAGTTTTTTGGGTGTCTTACCTATCCTCATACCTCGCTTTATCATGTGATCAAAGTCCAATCCCCTTGTTGTGTTTGCCCTTGATCTAATGTCCTAATATGAGGGAGAACATATGATTTTTGGTCTTTAGGTCCAGGCTAACCTCACTCACAATAATATTCTCCAGTTCCATCCATTTACCTGTGAATAATAACATTTCATTCTTCTTCATGGCTGCATAAAATTCCTTTGTGCATAAATACTACATTTTCTTAATCCATTCATCAGTAGTGAGGCATCTTGGCTGTTTCCATAACTTGGCTATTGTGATAGTGCTGCAATAAACATGGGTGTGCAGGTGCCTCTGGAGTAACCTATGTCACATTCTTTTGGGTATATCCCCAAGAGTGATATTGCTTGATCATATGGTAGATCTATGTTTAGATATTTAAGAAGCCTCCAAAGTTTTTTTCAGAGTGGTTGTACTAGTTTGCATTCCCACCATAAGTATAAGAGGGTTCCTTTTTCTCTGAATCCTCACCAACACCTGGTGTTAGTGGTGTTGCTAATGATGGCTATTCTAACAAGGGTGGGGTGGAATCTTAGTGTGGTTTAGATTTGCATTGCCTTTATTGCTAGGGATGGTGATCATTTTTTCATATGTTTTTTGGCCATTTGAATTTCTTCTTTTGAGAAAGTTCTGTTTAGTTCACTTGCCCATTTCTTTATTGGTTCATTAATTTTGGGAGAATTTAGTTTTTTGAGTTCCCTACATATTCTGGTTATCAGTCCTTTTTCTGATGTGTAGCTGGCAAATATTTTCTCCCACTCTGTGGGTGTTCTCTTCAGTTTAGAGACCATTTCTTTTGTTGAGCAGAAGCTTTTTAGTTTTATGAAGTCCCATTTATCTATGCTATCTCTTAGTTGCTGGGCTGCTGGGGTTCCATTGAGAAAGTTCTTGCCAATAGCTATTAGTTCCAAAGCTTTCCTACTCTTTCCTGTACCAACTTTAGAGTTTGGTCAGATATTAAGATCCTGATCCATTTTGAGTTAATATTGGTACAGGGTGATAAACATGGATCTAGTTTCAGTTTTTTGCAGATTGCTAACCAGTTTTCCAGGCAGTTTTTGTTGAAGAGGCTGTCTTTTCTCCATCGTGTATTTTTAGCGTCTTTGTCAAAGACAAGTTGGCTATATTGTGTGGCTTCATATCGGAGTCCTCTATTCTGTTCCAGTACCATGCTGTTTTATTGTTATTGCTTTGTAATAGAGTTTGAAGTCAGGTATTGTGATACCTCCAGCGTTGTTCTTTTAACTGAGTATTGCCTTAGCTATTCATGGCCTCTTGTGTTTCCATATAAATTTAATGGTAGATTTTTCAATCTCTTTGATGAATGTCATTGGAATTTTGATGGGAATTGCATTAAACATGTAGATTACTTTTGGGAGTATAGACATTTTTACTATGTTGATTCTACCAATCCATGAGCATGGAAGGTCTCTCCACTTTCTATAGTCTTCCTCCATCTCTTTTTTCGGAAGTTTATAGTTTTCCTTGTAGAGGTCATTCACATCCTTTGTTAAGTTTACACCTCAGTATTTGATTTTTTTTTGAGGCTACTGTAAATGGAATTTTTTTCATATATTCTTTGTCAGTTTGTTCATTATTAGTGTATAAGAATGCTAATGATTTTTCTATGTTGATTTTATATCCTGCTACCTTGCTATAGCTCTTGATGTTGTCTAGGAACTTTTGAGTAGAATTTTTTGGTCTTTAAGGAATAGGATCATATAGTCTGCAAATAGGGATATTTTGACAGTTTCTTCATCTATTTGTATTCCTTTTATTCCTTCTTGCCTAATTGCTCTGTCTAGGAATTCCAGTACTATGTTGAATAGGAGTGGAGATAGTGTGCATCTTTGTGTCATTTCTGATTTTAGAGGGAATGGTTTCAGTTTTTCACCATTAAGTATAATGCTGGCTGTAGGTTTGTCATATATAGCTTTGATAATGTTGAGGTACTTTCTTTCAATCCCTAGTTTTCTTAGAGCTTTTATCATGAAATGGTGTTGGATCTTATCAAAGGCTTTTTCTGCATCTATTGAGATGATCAAGTGGTTTTTTGTCTTTGCTTCTGTTAATGTGGTTTATTGCACTTATTGATTTTTGTATGTTGAACCACACCTGCATTCCTGGGATGAAGCCTACTTGGTCGTGATGAATGATCTTTTTGATCTATTGTTGAATTCGGTTTGCCATTATTTTATTGAGGATTTTTGCATCAATGTTCATTAAGGAGATTGGCCTATAGTTCTCCTTTGTGGAGTTGTCTTTGCCTTGTTTTGGGATAAGTGTAATACTGTCTTCATAAAATGTGTTAGGCAGTTTTCTTTCCCTTTCTATTTCATGGAACAGTTTATGGAAGGTTGGTATTAGTTCTTCTTTAAAGGACTGATAGAATTCAGCAGAGAATCCATCAGGTCCTGGACTTTTCTTTTTGGGGAGACTATTGCTGCTTCAATTTCATTTTGTGTTATAGATCTACTCAGGTGATTAATGTCCAGTTGGTTCAGTTTTGGATGATCATAAGTATCTAGAAATCTGTCCATTTCTTTATGATTTTCAAATTTATTTGAATATAGATTCTCAAAGTAGTCTGTGATGATTTCCTGCACTTCCATGGTGTTTGTTGTTATCTCCTCTTTTGCATTCCTGATTTTGCTAATTTGGGTTTTTTCTCTCCTCATTTGATCTGTTTACTTTTTTCAAAGAACCAACTTTTTGTTTCATTAATTCTTTGTATGGTTTTTTTGGTTTCTATTTCATTGATCCAGCTCTTATTTTTATTATTTCTCTCCTATTTGTTTTGGGATTTGCTTGTTCTTTTTTTTTAGGAGTTGGAGATGTATCATTAGGTCATTGATTTGGGATCTTTCAGTCTTTTTAATATATGCACTCATGGCTATAAACCTTCCTCTCAGAACTGCCTTTGCTGTGTCCCATAGGTTCCGTTAGGTTGTATTTTCATTTTCATTGACTTCCAGGAACTTCTTAATTTCCTCTTTTATGTCATCAATGACCCATTGTTCATTAAGCAATGAGTTATTCAGTTTCCAGCTGTTTGTCTGTTTTTTTGTTGTTGAGTTCTACTATTACTGCATTGTGATCAGATAGTATGCACGGTATAATTTCTATTTCTTATTTTTGCTGAGGTTTGCTTTGTGCCCTCGGATATGATCTATTTTGGAGAAGGTTCTGTGGGTTAATGCATAATTTTTAACTATTTCTTAGATATATGATGGCAACTATCGTTAAAATCTGTATTTTTTTCTAAATTAAATTTTAATATTTATTTAAACTACTTTTATAAGTGAATTTTGTTGTTCAAGGTGGTTTACCATGCATATAGTAAGGTGGGCTGGAACTGTCTTTTAAATTCCATGAATATCTTTTATTAAAAGCCAACTCAATTTTAAAATGGAGCAGTTACTTTCCAATTAGTTCTTATAGGTATTCCTGTCTGTTGGCATAGAAAGGAAATTGACCTTTCTCTTACCATGGGCGAAAAGGGTCTGCAGCCGCAGTGAGCCAGCAGTGGTCACTATTGCATTGAATCCCCACTGCACGGGTGTCATACCACCTGGTCCAGACCACCCATGAACCTGAAGGCATATTCATCATTTTTCCACCCAGTATGGAAACTATTTTATCAGGTCCATGTGAAATTGACAATTTAAATAGGAGAAATTAATTATCATCTAAACTGTTAGAGTTTCCTCTTTCTACTTGGTTGTTTCAACTACAGCTGCCAATGACCCCTTTTCTTTCTTAAGTTCTATGTCAGTTCAAATCAGTCACTAAGTCCCACAAATGTTCCCTCTCTTTAGTATCTTTCATGTTAGTTTCTCATTATTTATAATCTCATTTAAAAGAGAGTTCCACTGCATGCATTTGAGTGAAGGAAGAATTGTCAAATAATTGAACAGACCAAATTAATAGATTGGAGCTCAGGAAGGTGAATGGGCAGCAATTTTACAGAAAACAGTCTCCTTACATTCACAGCAAGAGCAAGCTAAAAGTATAACTTGTTCAAA